CATCCCAAGTGCCCATCCTGGTCCGGGGCGGAGGCAGGAGCACCGCAGCCGGGCCGGACCTCACTCGCGCCGGCCGCAGGCTGCAGGCTTGCAGGCCCTGCGCCCGGCAGCTCCCGGGGGCCCGGATCCCCGCTCCCCCTCCCTCCCCGCGCCCAGGGCTCCCCCAGATCTGGGCATGCGGGCGGGCGCCGCAGCGACCAATGAGCGCGCTCGCCGTCTCCGGGAGCCGGGCCGGCTCTGCCCGCCTGGCATTGGGCACGCGGTGGGCAGCGGCGGGCGGGGCCTGGGGGGTCCTCGCGCCTGGTTGGGCCAGGCTTGTTGCTGGGTAACGGGGCGGCGAGTTTCCCCTGGCAACGGCGGCGGGTACCGCTCACTGGCTGGCCGCGGAGGAGGGGGGCGCGGCGCAGGCAGGCCCCGCAGACCCCAGCAACAGCGCGGCCCCCGCCCGCCGGGAGCGGTAACCTTCACACCGCGGCCTCTCGGACCCCGCGGACGCCGGCGCCCCGCCCAGCCCCCGTCCGGGCCTGCGGGCTGGCTGCACAGGGTGGGGTGAGGTGGGGTGAGGTGGGGTGGGGTGGGGTGGGATGGGGTGGGATGGGGGTGGATGCAGGAGGCCACCGCGGGGAGCCCGGACTCAGGCCCTGTCCAGTGAAAAGTTAAGTTCTTCCCAACTCCCTCTGGCCGAGCCCAGAAACCCGCTTTTCCAGGACGAGCCTGGGGAAGTGTGTGAGTCTGCAGTCAAGTCGCTGGGACACGTTTCTTTTTTTAAATATATGTCGTTGATTTTTTTACAGAGAGGAAGGGGGAGGGATAGAGAGTTAGAAACATCCATGAGAGAGAAACACCCGTCAGCTGCCCCCTGTACACTCCCCACGGGGGATGTGCCCCGCAACCAAGGTACATGCCCTTGACCGGAATCAAACCTGGGACCCTTGGGTCCGCAGGCCGGCACTCTATCCACTGAGCCACACCGGTCAGGGCTGGGACACATTTCTTGAACTCGCACTTCACACGGAAGAGGCACTCATTGAACCTCCCCATGTAACTGCTGGTCCCACAGTGACCCCCTTTGTACCGGGGGAGACACTGAGGCACAGAGGGGGGGAGCTTCTCGATCAAGACCACCCGTTTGAACCCAGGTCGCCTGGCTCACTTCTCCATCCCTTTGAGAGGCGTTACTATTCCAAAGGAGAAGCTGGGCACCTCGGGCCACTGGTTTGAAACCCCCGGCCCCGACCTAAGGGCCATAGTTTAACGTTCTTGTTTAGATTCTCAGAGCGTCGTCGGGAGACCCCCTCACTGGCAGTAGGAATGCTGGGGAACGTGTATTAAAGCACCCTGGGCCCTGGTGCTTTATGTTTATGGACCTTCTCACTGCAGGGTCCCCTGAGGCAGGGCCCTTGATGGCCCCAACTCACAGATGGGGAAGTTGAGGCACAGAGAGGTGGCCACGTGCCCGGGGTCACACAGCCAGTGGGTGGCAGAGCTGGGAATTCTAGCTCAGGCCTTCTAGACCCAGAACCCGCCTCGGGGAGCCCAGCCCGGAGGGTTTGGGAGTTGGGCCACAGCTGTGGGCCTGGTCTCAGAAGATAGTGTGTCGTCATTTGGAGCAGGATCTGGACTGCATGGTGGGAAGGATCTTGACTGGTGACACTGCTTATGGGCTGGTGACTCCTGCCCCTTTCCTGCTCTCCTCTCTGCACCCCCCAGCCCCCCCTCCCACCCAGTCAAATTTCTCCAGTTCTTTCCACTCATTTTTTTTAAATATATTTTTTTATTGATTCTTTACAGAGAAGAAGAGAGAGGGATAAAGAGATAGAAACAACCATCAGCTGCCTCCTGCACACCCACCACCGGGGATGTGCCCGCAACCAGGGCACATGCCCTTGACCAGAATCGAACTTGGGACCCTTCAGTCCGCAGGCCGATGCTCTATCCACTGAGCCAAACCGGTTTCGGCCTTCATACACATTGTCTTCTCAGAAAATCATCCCAGCACATCTGGTCTACTGGTGTTTAGTCCAGTCTGGGCAGCTGGAGGGAACGGACCTGTGAGTGAGGGGCACTGGCTGACTGGGAGCTAGCCCAGGGCTGGGGCCTGCCTCTCTCTTAGCTTCATCACCGCCAGGCACAGAGCAAACACAATACCCAGCGGCACAGGTGACAAATGCTAACACTTATTAGGCGCCTACTGCATGTCAGACGCTGCGCTCCGAGACTTCCATGCATGAGCTCAGTGGCTGGGCATTGACCTTTGAACCAGGAAGTAACAGTCCGGTTCCTGGTCAGGGCGCATGCCAGGGTTGCAGGCTCCAACCAATCAATGGGCCTCTTTCAGCATCGGTGTTTCCATCTCTCCCTCTCCCTTCCCCTCTGAAGTCAATAAAAATATTTTTTAAATAAATACGTAAAGCCGCATTTCTCAAATGCCTTTAAACTCATTTGTTCAAGTCAGAAGTACACTGTCTTTGTGTTCTATTTCACAAAATAGTATTTTCCTTTGACTTCGTGATTTTTTTTTTTTTTTTTTGATGATACTATTTTGTGTTGTTTTCAGTCTGGTCAAGAGCCGTTCGAGTTGCAGGTGGAAGGAACTATTACAGAGCGCAGGGAAGTGTGTGGGGTTATAGGAATGTTCTGAATCTTGACTGAGGTGGTATACAAGAGCACAATTTTCACACCCCCCAACGACCCTCTGAAAAAGTCAATCTCATTGTGTGTAAAAATCCTATATCATAAAAGGTTAATATGCAAAATGTCCCCACGGGCCGGAGTTCGACCCACCAGGAGCTAGACGTGCGCTGACCACCAGGGGGCAGCGTGGAACATGGCGGGCGTCAGTGACACAGCCCTGGCAGCAGGTGGCAGTGTAGGCACCGCTGGCCCTGACAAGAGTGGGACCTTGGTGGGATGGTGGAGGCGGTGCCAGGCCAAGGTGGGGTGAGCAGGGGCCCCCAATTTCCCTGGTGACTAGTGACTGGTGGCAGGGGAGGGGGGCAGGTCAGAGAGCGGGCAGCACCAGTGCGAGGGGGTGACTCCAATCACCCCACCGGTTGCCCCACAGATGGGCCCTGATTGCTGGCCAGGCCTAGGGACTGTGCCCGTGCACCAATTTCATGCACCGGACCTCTAGGTTTTCAATAAACTGTGTAAAGACAATAAGATCCACGAACGTGATTTCACACCCCACGGTTTGCTCACGGCCCACCCACCGTTTGAAAAACACTGGAAGGAAGGGAAGAAGGAAGGGGAGTAACCGCATTAACGAATGTGGAAAGGGAGGGGAGGAGGGCGGCCGAGTCAGTCCCCCATATCTAAAGCTGGGAGAGTTCAAGGGGGGTCTGCACTTCCTGCTTCTCTTGGGAAACGGTGGGATCCCTGTGGAAGCGAGTTTGAGCACCTGAGCAAGCCCACTACCGCTCAGACCTGGCACCTCTTCCTGGCCAGCTCGGTGCCAGGCACTCCGAGGCAGCTGGCCCTGTGGTGACGCGGTTCGGTTCGGGGTGCGCCAGAGAGGGGGTGGAGGGTTCAGGGGGCCAGAGCCCGGGGCCCCGGGGGAAGGAAGGACAGGGACGAGCCAGGCCGGCCGGGTGGGAGTGACCCTGGGAAACGGAGAAGGGAAAGGGGAATTGAAACCCACAAGCCAGGGTGAGCGGTGGTGCAGGGGCTGCCCGGGCATGTCCGTGCCCGGTGCCTGGGGTTCCGTCTGGCCCCGGTTTCCTGCCAGACGTGTGGCAACTGTGACCTGTGGCTCCAGAGGGTGCCCCCTCGGTGGGTGAGCCCGTTAGCAGCAACTTGGCACGGGTACGATTGTGTGTTGGAGGCCAGTTTCTTCCTTTAATATTCTTTATTGATTTCAGAGAGGAAGGCAGAGGGAGAGAGAGAGAGAGAGAGAGAGAGAGAGAGAGAGAGAGGGAGAGAAACCTCAATGCTGAGATAGAATTATTGGTTGGGGCTAGAGCCTGCAACCCCAGGATATGCCCTGACCAGAATCCAGCCATGACCTCCTGGTTCATAGGTCATGCTCAACCACTGAGCCACCCTGGCCGGACATGGCAGTTTCTTTATGTCTGACTTGATCTATGTCTGTAAGGGCCAACCTTTTTTAAAAAAAAAATTTTTTAATTGATTTCAGAGAGGAAGAGAGAGGGAGAGATATATATATATATAACATCCATGATGAAAGAGAATCACTGATCAGCTGCCTCCTGCACACCCCATACTGGGGATGGAGCCCGCAACCCGGGCATGTGCCCTGGGCCAGAATGGAACCAGATCCCGCAGCCCAGGCACTGGCTCTATCCACTGAGCCGAACCAGCTAGGCCCGTGAGGGTCCATTTTTTGCCGGTGTCACTGTGTCAGCTGCGAGCCGGTGTGGCTGTTTGTGTGTGTCCCTGGGAGAGTGTCCTCCAGGTCACGCTGTGCGTGTGTCCAGGTATCCGCGACAGCTGCGGTGCGCGCACTCGCGGGCCTGCTCAGGGGAAACGTCCCGAATGTGACCTCGGTCAGTTTGGGGGTCTGGGTGCGCTCCTCCCCGTGGGTGTCTGTGCTCCTGTGTGTACCAGGTCCGTCTGCCTGTCCCGCAGGCACCCGTGCCCAGAGTCCGCCTGCCCAGGGGTCTGAGTGGGGACCTGCCCGGGGCGCTGGCACTGCCCCCGGGCCCCTGTCCACGGTGCGCCTGGCCTGGGTGCGTCCGGCTGGGCTGCCTCCCGCGCCCGGGCCCCGCCGGCACCTGGCTCTGTGCCCCTGCAGCGCGGCCCCGGGTGTGTGTGTGTGTGTCGGGTGCGGGTCCGTGGGCCCCAGTCAGTGTGTCAGTGTGTCAGCGCCGTGTCCGGCCGTCCCGCGCCCGCCCCGGGCCGGCCCCGCCCCGCCCCCGCCGCAGGGAAACCCCCGCCCGAGTTCGGGGGCGCGGCCGCGCCAGCAAGTCCCGACTTGTCCGCGGGGGCGGGGCCTGGCGTCACGCGGGGGCGGAGCGTGGGACCCGCGCGGCGGGCGGGGCGGAGCCGCGAGCGGCCCGGGACCCGCCGGGCGGCCGGAGACGCGGCGCGAGCCACATGCGAGCGGGCGCCTGGCGGCCGCACAAACACGATCGGCGGCGGCCACGACGCGGACGCGCCCGCGGCTCGAGCGGCGGCGGCGGCGGCGACAGCGACAGCAGCGGCCCCCGCGGTCCGAGCAGCAGCAGCAGCAGCAGCAGCAGCAGCAGCCGCCGCGGGGAGCGGCTCTTCTTCGCGGGCGCGCCCTCCTGGAAGCAGCCGCCCGCCCCCATCGCCGCCCCCTCTGGCGTGTTCATGCCCCCGGGGTGAGTGTGCGCGCCCCCGTCCCGCGGGCGCGATGGGCCAGGCCCGGCGGGCTCCCTGGAGGAGGCGGCGGGAGCGCACGCGGAGAGCACCGGGGGCGCCCTGCAGCCCCGCCGCGTGCCTCCCCCTCTCCGTACCCTCTGCCCCCGGGAGGGACTCGGGCTGGGCTGGGGTCGCGGGGCTGGGCCGGGGTCGCGGGGCTGGGCCGGGGTCGCGGGGCGGGAGGCGCCGAGGTCCGGGCGCGCAGGTGCCTGAGCGGTCTGGCGGGTTTGTTTACAAACAATGGGGTGCGGGCTCGACAGCGCCCCCTGGCGGCCAGCGCGGCCCCGGGGAAGTGAGTCGACCCCGACTCGCCCGGTGCCCCCGCAGTCCGCAGTCCGGGCGGGGCGGAGGCGGGGTGCGGGCGGAGGGGCGGCCACACCCGGGGCGCGCACCCGCGGGGGGCGGCGACAGGGGGCGGCTGCGGCCGCGGCGGCTGCGGCTCCCGCGGGCGGGGGCTGCGCCCCAGCAACAGCCGGTTATTGGCCCCGCGCTCGGCGGCGGGCGGGGCGGCGCACGTGGCGGCGGCGGGGCTGGGGCTGACAGCGCGGGGGGCGCCTGGTCCCGCCGTGGCCGCGGTGCGGGCTGTGAGCTGCAGGTGTCTCGCCTGGGTGTGTGCGTGCGGCTGGCTCCGGGTTTGCGCTGGGGTCCGCGGGGAGCGGGGGGTCCGGGGTCCGGGGGCATGTTGGGGCGGGTGTGAGTGTGAGTCCCCGTGGTGTGTGTGTGTGTGTGTGTGTGTGTGTGTGTGTGTGTGTGTGGAGTGCTGCCCGGGTCTGCCCTGCCTGCGGGGAGGGCTCTGTTTTTGTGGGGCGCGTGTGTGTGCTCTGGGAGAGTTGTCTGTGTGTGCTGTTTGGGGGTGATGCTGTTTGGGGGTGACTCTCTGGATCCGTGTCGGTGGGCGGGCTAGGCTGTTGTGTGTTGTTGGAGGGAGCTTCTGTGTGTGTGTGCGCGCGCGCTTCTGTGTGTATCCTGCCCGACGTGTTGTTTGCGTGTGCTCCTGTGTCTTGCCTGTGTGGACAGTCTGTGGCTGTGTCTGTCTCCAGGGCATGTGTCTCAGCGAAGCGTGTGTGACGGGTGCCCGCTGGATGGAGGCGATGCCAGGTGTCTGTGAGTTCTGCATGGGGTGTGTGTGTGTGTGTGTGTGTGTGTGTGTGTGGTGGGGGGTTGTCTCGGGCTCTGTTTGGCTTGTGTGTCTGGGAACTGAGGACCGCGTCTCTGTGGGGTCTGTGCAGCGCCGTCAGTGGGTGTTGCTGGCAGCCTCTCTCGCACGGGGCTTGTCTGAGCCCGTGTGTGTGTGTGTGTGTGTGTGTGTGTGTGTGTGTGTTGGGTCTGAGGGGCTTGTCTCTGCGATCGGCTGGCTCATGTGTGTCATGTGGGCTGCGTGTGTGTAGTGTTTATGTCGGTCACGTGAGACCTCTGCTTTCTGTGGGAGCGGGAGCTGTGCGGGCCGCCAGGGCTGCGGGAGCGGAGTTGGCTGGCGTGTGCGGCGTGTGCCCGGGGCTGACAGTTGGGGACGGGGTTTGGAGGGGAGGGGAGGAGGGAGGAGGGTCGGTGTTCCCTTCTGCTGGGGGGTCTGTGTATGTGTCGTGGCTGGAGCGTGTGGTGATGCGTCTGGGTCTGAGAACATGTGTCTGTGTGTTGCCTGACATACATGTGTCCTGGGGTCTAAGAGTTGGTGACACGCAGGCATGTTTCCGTGGTGTTGGTCCGCGCGAGTCCGTTCTGTGCTGATGTGTGTGTGAGTCCTGAGTTGTGCGTGCCTTACCTCGTGGGTGTGTATGTGTTTGAGAAGTGTGTGGGTTTCTGTCTGTGCTCGTATTGGCTGGTAGTGTGTATGTCAGTGTGTATATCAGTGTGTGTGTGTGTGTGTGTGCGCGCGCATGGGCATATCCACACTGGGTCAGTGTGTGAGATTCTGACTATTGGTGCATGGGGGGATGGGTTGTGCCAGGCAGCATGCATTGTTTGTATAGCTCTTGTGATGGTCTGTGTGTTCACATTTGGTCAGTGTTCCTGTGTGTGTGTGTGTGTGTGTGTGTGTGTCCTGTGTAGCAGTGTCCGACACTGGGACCATCTCAATGTTTCTGTGCCAATGGGAGATGAGGTGGGAGGGTGGTCGGGGGCTGGCCCGTCCTGCCTGAGCCTTCGTGTGTGTGTGTGTGTGTGTGTGTGTGTGTTGGGGAGCCATCCCAATGCCTGGCTGCCCTCCGTGTGTGCCCATCACTGTGTCCTAAAAGTGACCCCCCCGCCCATGCCCTGCTGGGTGAGTTTGTGTTGTGGGGCCATCAGCCCTCACACTCACACGCCTGACTCAGCCCCCTGAGCTCTTGAACTTGCTGAGAGCCAGCCGGTGCCCCCTGTCCCTCCTGTGTGCCCATCGCCCTGTGTTTGGGAGGCTGCCCCTGTGGAGCCGGGGTCCCTCGGGGGGGTGTGCACCTTGTGTGACCATCACACAAGCCTCGGCCTGGGCCCAGGGTGCCCCGTGTGTACTCATGCTGTGTGCGGGAGTGGCGGTGCCTGTGGACCTGTGGGGGGGTGGGGGGCCCCGGTGACCCCTGCACTCGCCGGCTGACCCCCTTCTCTTCCTGTCCTGCAGGCCCACCGGGAGCACCATGGCCCGAGCACGCCAGGAGGGCAGCTCCCCGGAGCCCGTAGAGGGCCTGGCCCGTGACGGCCCTCGTCCCTTCCCACTGAGCCGCCTTGTGCCCTCCGCTGTGTCCTGCGGCCTCTGTGAGCCCGGCCTGCCTCCTGCCCCTGCCACCCCCGCCCTGCTGCCAGCTGCCTACCTCTGTGCCCCCGCCGCCCTGCCCGCCGTCACTGCCGCCCTGGGGGCCCCCCGCTGGCCTGGGGGTCCCCGCAGCCGCCCCCGAGGCCCGCACCCCAACGGTGAGTGCCCACCCAGCACCGGGACGCGGGGGGCTGGGAGGGCTGCGAGCGAGACACTGAGGAACTGGCCCAGAGGGAGCGGGCGGGGGGAGGTGGCGAGCTGGCCGGGCCACAGGGAGGGTGTGGCCAGTGTGGTCTTTGTGTTGCAAGAAGCAGGAAGACGGGGAGTAGGAGGCTGGGGGTGGGGACGGCGGAGTGGGAAGTCCCCCCTGGAATCTGACTGCAGTCCCCGATGGCGGCCCGTGGCCTCTTCCGGGCCCGGGGCGACAGCTGTGGCCCAGCCCGTCCCCTCGGCTGGGTGCTGGGTGCCCTCGGTGCCCGGGGGCGGCAGTGAGGGAGAGGGTGGGCGGGGAGGGAGGACGGGCACTGCAGGACTCTGGGGAGGGGTCCAGGGTGGCCTTCTGCCGCCCTCTGCGGCCCAGGAGGAAGGAGGGGGAGGGGCCATTGTGCTGGGAAAGTGAGTCTGAGGGTGGAGGGGGGAGGCTTGGGGAGGGAAGGGTTAAAGGTCTCCTGCCTGATGGGCCTTTAACCCTGTGGTGCCCGGCAGCCCCGTGGCCGGGGAGGACCGTCCTGGTTCCCTCCAGCCCCACCCTGTCCCCCGGGGGAGGCTGGGAGAGAGGAACTTCTCCAACTCAGCTCCCGGGCTCCATTTCCAGCCCAGTGTCAGGTGTGGAAACTGAGGCCCTGAGAGCTGGCTTAGGGATCCCCCCAGGGCAGCCAGGACCGGGGTGGTGACAGGAGGAAGAGAGGTCAGCGGAGGGGGCGGGCAGGAAGGCCTGTCCTGCACCCCCAGCCCCCCCCCCCCAGCAGCCCGCCTGGCCTCTGGTCAGGCCCTGCCACTTCCGGGGGCGCGGCCTGCCTGTGGTTGGACACCAGCGGGCAGGAGACCTGAGGCTTGTGACTCTGGGTGTAGCCCGTGGCTGTGTCCCCGCGTGACCTTGGGCCGCTTCTCAGGATGGGCCTCAGTTAGTCCATCTGTGAAATGGGGCAGAAGCGTCTGGGCCTGTTTTGGAATAGAGGTCCTTCGGATAAGAGGGAGGTCCTCCAGGCCAGGCGACTCCCCAGAGGCCGCCCCGGGCGCCTCTGGCTTTAGGGTGCACCGGGGCCCGCTGAGGCCATGGGTGCTGACCCCCGCCCTCGGCTCTCCCCAGGTCCTCAGCCCGCACTGTCGCCCGCGGAGCAGCACCTGGAGTCGCCGGTGCCCAGCGCGCCGGGGGCCCTGGCGGGCGGCCCCACCCAGGCGGCCCCGGGCGTCCGCGGGGAGGAGGAGCAGTGGGCCCGGGAGATCGGGGCGCAGCTGCGGCGGATGGCGGACGACCTGGACGCGCAGTACGAGCGGCGGGTGAGTGCCGGGGGAGGGCAGACGGCAGGTGGGACCTCCCGCCGGGAGGGGCGGCGGGCGGCCCCGCCAGATGTGCGGCAGCTGCTGCCCCGCGCGGCGGGGTCGCGCCGGGGACAGGCCGGGGGGCGGGGCGGGGCGGGGCGGGCGGCCGCGGAGCCCGGAGCGCGCGGCGGCGGGCACGGCCGGGCCGGGCCGGGCGGCGGGAGCCCCGCGGCGGCCCGGGCCGCGGCCGGGACTGCGGGCGGCGCTGGCGGAGCGGCTCATATACCCGGGCTATTTATAGCCGGTGAGTCAGCAGCGCCGGCGGCCGCGCCCGCCCCGCCCCCGCCGCCTGCGCGCGCCCCGCTCCCCGGCCGCTCGGGGGCGGGGCCTGTCCCCTCCCCGCCGGAGGCCCCGCCCCGCCGAGGCCCCGCCCCCGATCCGACAGCCCCGCCTCTGCTTAAAACAAAATAGTGGCAGCCTGCAGCAGGGACTGGACAACACCAAGCATGGGGCGTCCACACGCCTCTGTCCAGCCCGAACCTGACACCCGCACTGCTTGCTTATTCTAAGGAAAACAAACACCGGGGACCCATCTCCTCCCTCTCCCACTCCCCCAGTTCCCAAGGAAACTCTTACAATGGAGGGCCCATTCCTCTGCAGGTGTTGATTAAAAAAAAAAAAATATATATATATATATATATATATATATATATATATATATATATATATATATATACACTTTATTGATTTTTTTTTAGAGAGGAAGGGAGAGGGATAGAGAGCTAGAAAGATTGATGAGAGAGAAACATTGATCAGCTGCCTCCTGCACACCCCACACTAAGGGATGTGCCCGCAACCAAGGTACATGCCCTTGACCGGAATCAAACCCCGGACCCTTCAATCCGCAGGCTGACGCTCTATCCACTGAGCCAAACCGGTTTCGGCTGGTGTTGATTCTTTTACTCCGTATTTACCAGGCCACAAAGCCATGCTTAGGGCCGTGGGGCGTTTTTGGCATAATATACGGGGTGTCCCCCAAAAGTGTATGCACACTTTAACAGCTGGTAGTTCAATTTTGGAAGGGACATGTACTTTAATATACACTTCCTCTATAATTATTCAAAGTGTGTACATTTTTGGGGGGGGACGCCCTGTAGACAGAGTGTTTGTTTCTCTCCAAACGCTGTCCGCCTCTCTCCATTCATACCTGAGCTTCATCCGTGTGGGCAGGAGAGCTCTGAGCCCCCCATGTTCCCAGGATCGACATCCAGTGTCCGTGTTCATTTACCCGTTGTTGGATCTTTGGGAATTTTTTTCTTTTAGGCATTTTTTTTACATGTTTCAAATTTGATGTATTGGCTTTCTTTTAGGCTCCTCCAAATGGTGCCCTCCTGTGTCCCCACGGGGACATGCCTTGGGGGGTGCCCACCCTCAGCCTGGGAAATGGCTGCTTGCTTGCTCACCAGAGTGGCTGTGGCCCAGAGCGCCTGGCAGCTGAGTAATGGTGGCAGGCCTTTTAGCTTCCTTCTTTCCTGACACGAGAAGGGGGGGTCCTAAGGGCACCCCGAGTCCTCATGCTCTCTCTGGAGAGAGGGCAGGGGCCAGCTCTGCCTGGACATGCCTCCGTGCAGCCTCAGCGCAGGTGGTGAGCGGTTCCCAGTTCTCCTCCGTCCACGGATTGTTCTAGAATCGCTGGCTGTGGGCTCCCTCCTCCCTTCTCTCCAGCCAGCCAGCCAGCCTCTGAGGGGAGGGCAGGATGGGCTGCAGTCCAGCCCCACCCCTCGGCCCCGTGGTCCTTTGGGTCACGAGATCCCAGCTCACAGGCACCCAACACTCGCCGTCCTTCCTGGAGGTGACGACACTGGCCCAGATGGGCAGAGGAGCTGGGATGTGGGCCCGGCTGACGATGACAGCAGCTGCCTGGCAGGGCTGTGGAGGATGTAGCTGCCCCTCCCTGCCCTTGGACCTGCGGGCCTCCTGATGCCCTCCTCTCTCTCTCTTTCCCCACAGAGGCTGGAGGCACAGCAGCGACACCGCCCCTCGCCGTGGAGGGTCCTGTACAACCTCCTCCTGGGACTGCTGCCCTTGCCCCGGGGCCGCGGGGCCCCCGAGATGGAGCCCAACTAGGTGCCTGCACCCGCCTGGCAGACGTCGGGGACTTGGGGGGCAGGACCCTCCCGCACCCTGACGCCCTGGCCAGCACCGGGGACGTTTTCTGCACCATGTAGCATACCGGACTGCGAGCCCTGCCTGTCCCAGGGGCGGGCCGGGCAGCCACTCCAGACCCAGCCGCGGCCCAGCCTGGGTGCACTGTCGGAGACGCGGACTCCTGCGCCCCCGGCCGCGAAGCCAGGGGAGAGAGGGCTGATGGACCGACTGCGCGTCCGACGGCGGCGGTGACCGAGGGGTGGGGACCGAGCCGCCCACCACCATCTCAGGAAAGGCTGCTGGTGCTGGCTGCCCGTTCCAGCTGCAGGGTGACACTGGGGGGGGGGTGACCCCTCTCCCCAGTGCCCCTTCACTTTGGGCCTGGCCTCAGGCCCCCGGTGCTTCCCCCCCTCCTCCTGGGGAGGGGGCCCGTGAAGAACAAATGAGCCAAACGTGACCACTAGCCTCCTGGAGCCAGAGAATGGGGCGCGTCCGACGGCTGCCCCGGCCCAGCGCCCAGCCGTCTTCCCTGAGCCGGCCGGCGGGTGGTGGGCATGCCTGCCTCACCTCCATCGGGGGTGGCCGGGGGGCCCAGACTGTGAATCCTGTGCTCTGCCCGCGCCCACCCCCTCCCCCATCCATCCATTCATAGGTTTAGAGAGCGCACGCGTGACCACTGGCATTCATTGGGGGGTGGGATGTGTTGGCGGAAACCGCCCCAGCCTTAGTCCCCGGGGCGAAGCGCTGGGGGGCAGAGGGGAGTCAGGGAGGGGGAGTCTCAGCGGAGGGAGGAGTCTGGGAGCGGGGAGGGACGGCCCAGCCTGTAAATTACTGTACATGCACTGCTGTAGATACCGGAATGAATTTTCTGTACATGTTTGGTTAATTTTTTTTGTACATGATTTTTGTATGTTTCCTTTTCAATAAAATCAGATTGGAACAGTGGACCCTCGCTCTGCTCTCCTTCCCCGCCCGCGACCGGGGCCGAGCCGCTGGGACCCGCCGGGGCCCTCGGCCACACTGTCCCCCTCCCACTACAAGCAGAGTCCCGGGAGGTGTGGTTTGGGTGCCTTCCCAGTGTTTGCCCCAGTGGATAAAGTAGGTCATGGGGGCCCTGTATTTCCTGAGTGAAAATGTGACCTGCAGCCGAGACCAGTTTGGCTCAGTGGATAGAGCGTCGGCCTGCGGACTGAAGGGTCCCAGGTTCGATTCCGGTCAAGGGCATGTACCTTGGTTGCAGGCACATCCCGGGTGGGGGGTGTGCAAGAGGCAGCTGATCAATGTTTCTCTCTCATCGGTGTTTCTAACTATCCCTCTCCCTTCCTCTCTGTAAAAAAAATCAATAAAATATATTTTTTTTTAAAAAGAAGAAAAAAAAAGAAAGTGTGACCTGCAGCTTATTCGGCAGCACCAGCATGAGGGGCCCTGGGGAACCTGTCAGCAACGAGACGCCTGTCCCTGCTCCCATGAAGGCACCCGGTGACACGGGAGCAGAGACACAGCGAGACTTCACTGCTGCCTAAGGCCCAGCACGGGGCCCGGCACCAGGAGCTGGTGTGGACTTCACATAAGAAGGCGACCTGTGCTTCTCTCCCCGACAACGGCGCTGGCCCCGGCTCTTCTGGGTCCTCTCCCTGCGGGACTGGCAGACACATCAGTGATGTGAGAGAATCGCTGATCGGCTGCCCTGCAAACCCCACGCTGGGGATCAAGCCTGCAACCTGGGCATGTGCCCTGACCGAGATCAAACCGTGACCTCTGAGACCTCCCGGTTCATAGGTCGACAACGCTCAACCACTGAGCCATGTGGCCAGGCAACATTAGCATTTCTTATCATGTATTTCTGCTGGTGACATAGTCCCTTAGCTTTATCTGAAAATATCTATTTTCACTGGTTGTAGATTTCTACAATGGACTGTTTCCTTTCAGCATTTAAAAAAATATATATGTTTGTATTGGTTTCAGGGAGAAAGGGAGAGGGAAACATCAATGATGAGAATCATTGATTGGCTGCCTCCCGCTTGCCCCCCACTGGAGATCAAGCCCACAACCCCAGGCACGTGTCCTTGACCGGAATTGAATCTGGGACCCTTCAGTCCACGGATTCACTGAGCCACCAGCGAGGGCCTTTCAGCATTTTTAAAATATTGTTTTGGATCATGGCCAGGCAGCTCAGTTGTACGGAACATCATCTTGCTCTGCCAAGGTTGTAGGTTTGATCCCTGGTCGAAGCACAATCAAGATTCAACCAAGGGCCTGTGGAGAGTGTCTGGAGGGAAACACACACACACACACACACACACACACACACACACCCAGAAAACTCACCTTGTGGCCTTCTTGCAACTTTCAATTCCCCTCTTAACCCCACCTGCCTCGGTTCCCGCTTCAGAACCCTCTCACAGTTGCTCTTTGGTGGGGTTTCTTTTCTTGCTTTGTATTGTCTAGAATTTAGTTGCTCACAGGGGGGTTATAAACTTACTCCATCACACAACAAACAGAACTTGGGTATCTTCTTTGGACTAGAACCAAACCTATCATATTTTGCCAAAACCGGTTTGGCTCAGTGGATAGAACGTCGGCCTGTGGACTGAAAGGTCCCAGGTTCGATTCCGGTCAAGGGCATGTACCTCGGTAGATGTTCAGGAGGCAGCTGATCGATGTTTCTCTCTCATCGATGTTTCTAGCTCTCTGTCCCTCTCCCTTCCTCTCTGTAAAAAATCAATAAAATATATATATTTAAAAAATCTGTCCTATTTAGAGGGGAAGTGGAGACTGATGGATGGAAAGAGCAGACGCCCAGGGGCGGTCAAGGGCAGAGGCCACATTCTGTCAGCCAGGTCCGAAGGGATGGGTTGCCCCAGGCTGTGCGGCTTTCTGCCTTGGAACCAAGGTGCAGACCAGCCCTGCAACTGGGCGGAGCGGAGGCTCAGAGGACCTGGCAGTGAGGCCCTCAGCTAAACCCTGCCCCCTGCCCACTGCCCCCTCCAGATGCTCCCTCCTGCAATGGTTGCTTCTGGAGATTTACTTTTCATTGTCCCGTTTTTTTTTCCTTCCGTAAAAAACAGACAAAACACATGTCCGTGTGTCTTTGTAAAACTTTCTATCCTGTACTACACCCATGTACTATCTATGCAAACAACCAATGAGCTGTACAATGCGGCCAGCCTACAGCCTCTTGGAAAGAATCACCGTCTCAAATGCATTTATGTACCCTGTAACCTGAGCGCCCGGCTTCGGGGAGCCTTCGCCAAGTGCGTACAATGAAAACAGGCTCAATGTCACTCACCAGCAGCCCGATTACATAGCTTATGGCTCATCTGTGGTTTTGGAATTCGATGCCTGATGCGCTGACAAGGATCTCCAAGGCAATGAGGGAAAGCAAGTTGCAGAAAAGTTATTTATAAATAATAGCATAATAGCAGGTAACATAGGGCAATTTCTACTCAGAGAACACAGTCATTCATTTAATTCCCAAGTGTCAGAGGAATATACTATTATCCCGTTTTACAGATGGGGCAACTGAGGTACACAAAGGTCACTCGCCCAAGGTCACGCAGCTGAGTGGTAGAGTCTGGACTTGAACCTGACAGCCAGCCCGGAAGGATTCTCTCAGTGGCTGTGAGGTGTGACCTCTGGGAGCTAGGTATGACATCCCCAACCGACACAAAAAGCAGCTCACGTTTCTCTCCGAAATCCTGAGTTTAGCTGTGAAGTCGCTGCTCCCGCTGCATGGCCAGCACTGAGCTGACAGGCTGTGACGCAGTGGGGAGGAATCTTTTTATTCTTATGCTGACTCTATATTTATTTCTATTGATTTCAGAGAGAAAGGCACAGAAATGATGAGAGAATTATCAATCGGCTGCCTCCTGCAGGCCCCCACTGGGGATTGAGCCTGAAACTCAGGCATGTGTCCTGATGGGGAATGGAACCGTGACCCCCGCAATGCTCAACCGCTGAGCCACACGCAGACAGGCTTATGCTGCTATATTGCTTGACAGGTTTTTTGTTTTTTAAAATATATTTTATTGAGTTTTTACAGAGAGGAAGAGAGGGATAGTGAGTTATAGAATCATCGATCAGCTGCCTCCTGCACACTCACCCCCGCCCCCACTGGGGATGTGCCCGCAACCAAGGTACATGCCCTTGATCGGGATCGAACCTGGGACCTTTCAGTCTGCAGGCTGACGCTCTATCCATTGAGCAAAACCGGTTTCGGCTGGTTGATAGTTTTATACAAACCCCCCCCCCCACCTGCCCTTCTGGACCCAGCTGAAGGTGCTCCCCTCGCTCCTGGGGCTGCCCAGGGGTTCTCAGTGGAGACCGACAGGCCTCAGGACCTTTCGAAGGCAGATCCGTCTCCCCGTCCTCACCGAGACCTTCAGTGGTGCCACTACATGCATGTTTCCTAAACGTCCCGCACGAAAGCCGTTTGGTGAAGCCATTTCCCCATCTGCAGTCTTGCCACAATAGCACCTGCCCCCACGGGGCTGCTGTGAGGACTCCATGCAGCTAACGTACAGGCGTTCTGGAAACGCCAGGGAGGTAGCGTGCCACCCCAGCATTAGCATCAAACTCTTTGCCCCGAAAACTGCCACCCAAGCTTCCATTCCGCCACCCGTACAAGGGCAAATGGGGCACAGCCAGCAGATAAGCACAGTTACAAAAGAAACCGGCTCTCATCAGCCTTGCAAGACCGTGGGGCTGTGGCGAAACCCAGAGCTTACTGCGGTCCTTTTTCGCCTATTCCGCCCGAGCCTGCAGCACAGGGAGCACTGGCCCGTTTGGCAGCTGCACAGACAGCAGATCGGGGCATGCAGTGGAGACCGGGCCGCCCCGAAGCTAGCCGTTGCTTTCACCCAGTAACTCCAGCACCCCAGCATATGGCACTTCCGAGGGCAGATCCTCCTTCCCACGAGGCCACGCGTCCCGGAGGAATTGGAAAGCACGGGAGAACCGCTGTGCACTTCCTGGAGACTCAGGGAAACCCGATTTATGGTAACACTGACGTGTACCATGGGCGAATATGGAATATGAAGAAACGAGGAGAGAGACATTTCTTGCCCGGGGCTGGCAGCTCCCAGCACCACCGCCCTGATTCCCGAGGGCCCCTCTCTGGATGACTCAATCTCCGCCACGAGAGGAACAGGGCGGAAAAGTTCGAGAGCCTCAAAGGTTCTGCAATGACAATTTTGTTTTTATCCATCCAGACCCGCCTGCTCCCCCTTGTGACCAAGGCCCCGCATTGCAAAGTGAAGGAAATAATTAGCTCTTTTCTAAAACGGTGTGAAATTCCTGTATCAATAAAGCACTGACCTCAATACCCCACAGGAATGGGGCCCACAATGGGCCCCCCCAGAAATGCAGCCTTCGCCTCACGCAGGGCAGGAGCAAAGGCTCAGGACTGAGCTCTCCCTCCCAGAGACCAGGGCAACAGGATGAAAATAGAAAGGAGCCCTGGCTGGTGTGGCTCAGTGGGTAGAGCGTTAGCCCATGGACTGAAGGGTCCTGGGTTCAATACTGGACCAGGGCAGGTATCCCACCCAGTTGCAGGCTTGATCCCCGGCCCTGGTCAGGGAACGTGTGGGTGGCAACCAATCGGTGTTTCTGTGTCTCCCCCTCTCCACTCCTCTCTAAAAATCATTGGAAAAATATCCTTGGGTGAGGATTAACGACAATGGAAAAGGCAAGGTGCCGACTTATCCATTCAAACTGGCCAGGCCCAACCCTCACAGCTTTACATCGGGAGGAACCCATGCAGACCTGGTGTTCCGCTGACAGCTTTGACTTGTACCAACTGTAGGGCACGTTACTAAAGTGTCAGTTTCAAAATGAGGCTGTCGCCATGTTTACTGTGCCAATGCCTGGCACAGAGGAGCTACATTCGAGATGGCATCAGCATCACGTCTTACTCCTTTCCCACTGTCATGCTACTTGTGCCCGGCCCAGCCACCAGTTCAGATTCCCCAGCACACCGCAGGAACCAGAGGCTCCTGTGCATTTGCTGCATTCCCCAGAGGAAAGGGCGCAGGAAGCGAGTCGGAGGGGAGAAACCTTAGAGTCAGGTTAGAGTCCAGCGGAAGCAGCAGATTTAAAAAGGCAATTGAGGGAATCACTCCCTGTCACAGGAAGTTTCAAACGTGGAAGAAAAACACACAGATCCTAAAGCAAATAACTTTATTTCTACCACTCCTTTTCCAAGGACCCGGGAATCTAGAAAATATAAAAAACACAAACAGCTGCCATTCAGGGGTAACGAAGGACCGACACAGCCTTAAACGCAACAGGCTCCTCCCGCCCAGTGGCCCGCTGGCCTCTGTCTTTACAGTTTTCCTAACATTTTCCTAACATCCAACTTGCAAGGTCTCGCCCGAAAGCCCTGGAGGACCAGTACCGTTTCCTCCGTCCCGCAGCCCAGGCTGGATGGCTAATCCTCCGCTAACACCAGGACCAGCGCACCAGATGCCACCTGTTGTTTTGCAGGATTTCACTCCGGAGGAAACACATCCCGCCTGCCATGCTTTTCCTCTCAGGGCACCTGTCTGCATTCGGACTGCGGTTCCACTCGCGTTTCATCGGCCCGGCCTCCCTCCCCCGAGGCCGGGCTCCCTCGGGTGACATCAGGCGGAGAGGTCCGAGGAGGCGGCGAGGCTCCGGGCAGGCCTCCCTGGCGGTACCCAGAGGTGTGGTGATGCCAGGACGGCACCAGGACAGAGGTGCCGGAGGGCGCTGCCCGCTCGGCGGAGCTGGGAACAGTCCTGCGCAGTGAGGAGGGAGGCGGCCAGCCCCCGCCCCTCGTGTGCAGCAGCTGCCGGTGCTCGCAAGCAGCACATGTGCACGGCCTCATTGTTCACGGAAAGGGTCTGCGCTGGTGCAATGACTTCTCTTCTCTCGCCGGGAGATGCCCGAGGGGGGAGGACGCGGGAAGGCACGCGGGGGGGCCGGCATCTCCAGGGCTGCCATGTCGGGGTTCACTTGGGGCCGAGGCACTCCACAATCCCGCTTCCCTTCATGCCGTCAAAGAAGAAGAAGTTGTTGTGAGGCGGGTCCCTCTGAGACAGGGCCTGGGAGGAAAACAAGAGGAGGGCTCGGCTCACGTGGGTTCAAAGGGACAAAGTGGAGGGAAGAGTCCCAGGCAGCTCCTCCCCGAGCAGCTGGGCAGAGGTTTCTCAATAGAGGCCGATGCTCTCCCCAGGGGCCACTTGGCCACAACTGGAAACTTTTTTAAATACAGCGAAAGTTTCTTTAGAAAGTCACAGAGGCAGAAAAAGGCAGCCAGCTGGGCTGCACGGGCTCAGGAAACAGGTTTCAGAGGCCAAGAAAGGGCCCTTGGAGCTTAGAGAGGAGAGAGGCAGAGAGAAGACGGCCGGGGGGGGGGGGAGCAGGGAGAGGCGCGGGGGCGGGGGCGTTTCTGCGGTCATGTCTCTGGCTAGCCCTTGCCAGCTGTGAGCCCTCGGACAGATCCCTCAGCTTCTCTGAGCCTTACTTTCCCCAGGCAGAGCAAACATCAGATGTGTGATCCTAGGCATTCAGAGAGATGAGCCCTGCCAGTGTGGCTGAGCGTCAACTCAGGCACCAGAAGGTCCTCAGTTGGATTCCTGGTCAGGGCACGTGCCCGGGTTGCAGGTTCGATCCCCAGTAGGAGACAATCGATCAATGAGTCTCCCTCTCTCTTAAAAAAAAAAAATCAATAAAAACATTTTTTTTAAAGAGAGATGAGATCAATCAAAGAACTTTTATGCATATGTGGACACAGACAATAGTGTGGTGAAGGTCTGGGACGAGGATGGTCTAGATGGGGTCAATGGGGAAAAAACAAGACATGTGTAATACTTTCAACAATAAAGATTAAAGCAAGGAAAGCGAGACGATGTACCTAAATACCGTCACCAGTGCCTGGCATGAGGAGCAGCGCCTGGCAAACCTGGGGTAATTATGGCTGTGCCGGGAAAGACCCCACACCGCGCTGCGGCCTCGGAGCTGCTCCGCAGTCACAGACACGATGACTGTCCCGATGACTGTCCCGTGGGGTTAACAGGAGGACACAGCCCTTTTTCTAATCCTCACCCGAGGGTATTTTCCCCACCGAGTTTTAGAGAGTGGCAGGGAGGGACACGGCATTTTTAAGGACAGGGTTAGACCACCTGAAGCCACAAGCTGAGTCACATACACAGGACGGGCTCATACGTGCCAGTGATTTTTCTAGGAGGCTCTGAACCGAACAGGATACCACGTGAAGTGGCCACCACCTAGGCCAGCTTCTGGCAGTGCTTCGAGATTCCAGGGGGCTCCATGCTGTCCCTCACGAGGCACGCTCTCACTGACAAGGTTGAAATTGCTCTAAACATCCTGAACTTCTCCTTGAACTGCGCACCAATCCCAATCCATTTCCTCATCTGCCAATGGGGACAATTTACCTACTTTAGGTGGCTATCCAGCCACTTGTCCAAGGAACTGTTCTAGCATTTACTGTGTCAGGTACAGTGCTAGATCCTAAGGAGGGGGCTCGGATCTGACAGGCTGGCTCCTGGCGCAAATATGAAGAGGCACCTGCCCACCAGGGTTGCTGGTGAGAATGAAATGCGATCCGTCTGTAACTGCCGGCTCAGGCAGATGCTCAGTAAGCGGGAGCTGCTACTGCTACGGGGCCAGCACCCCTTACCAGCGGCTGAGGACCCCCAGCACTCGGCCGGGGGAAGGCCCAGAGCCCACAGCTAGGACTCCGAGAGCCCGCAAGCAGCTCTAACGGGAGATGAGATGGCCGCGCCATCCCCACGGGGACGGGGAAAGGAAGGACGACGCCACCAGGGAGCATGACAAGTGGGATGTGGGCAGAACACATGGTCTGAAATGAAAAGGGAGGGAAATAAAGATTCCAAGGGGACAGGTTTTTCATGTGACCCCGCCTCCCAGGCTCACTTTCTACGGTCAGATGGTCTCTCGGGAGAGCAGGGCAGGTCTGTGGCCCTGAGGAGGGACCCTCCCGCCAGCTGACTGCAGGCTGACCCTGTGAAGCAGGGGGGTGGAGTGGTGGGGACGAGACGGCAGGGCATGGGGTGAACATGGGGCAAAAGGTAAAGCGCTTCCCAAGCCAGATGGGGGCAGGAGGAGATTCCAGACACGCCCAGCAACCGAGAATGCGGAGTGCTCTGGCTATCTGGGATAAACAGAAACAAGATGCTGGCAACAGCTGTCCCCAGCAGGCGGCCAGGAGGGGCCGCATTAGAGGTTAGGACTGCGATGCCGAGAAGCTGCTGCAAACAAAGGGGTCAAGGCAGGTGGCCTTGACCCCAAATCTCCATCGCATATGAAGAATCTGGGAGCGGCTTCTCAATGGAGGCACAGAAGTGAGCCTGGGGGTGCGAGGACAGTGGCCCTGGGTCCTCGCAGACGCAGAGCCGCTGGACCGAGTCAGTTTGGGACAGGGCCTGAGGCATGATGACCAAGTGGTAAAGAGCAGAGGCCAGAGACCAGACTGCTAGGCTCGAATCCTGGCTCCCCACTTCCCCGCACCTCCACCCGCTTTACACATCAGGGATCACCACACCTGTACCTCTGTGGCTGCTGGAGGATAAATTAGTTCATCCATGTAAAGAGCAGTCTCTGTCCGGCCCTTGCTATCTGTTACTAGAGGCCCGGTGCGCTAAATTTCCTGCACTGGGGCCTGGTGTCCCCCAGCCCAGCCTGCGCCCTCTCAGTCTGGGACCCCTGGCTCCTTACTGCCCGCCTGCAGCGGAGGCGGGAGAGGTTCCCATGAGCCCGGCTTCTGGCTGAGCGGTGCTCCCCCAGTGGGAGCGCACTGACCACCAGGCGCAGCTCCTGCCTTGAGTGTCTGCCCCCTGGTGGTCAGTGCACATCACAGTGACTGGTTGTTCTGCCACCTTCTGATTCTCCGTCACTGCGCTGTCAGGGACCAGCACAACGCGGCCCAGAGAGAGGACAGGACACCACTGCGAGTCCTAGACCCTGACAAAGGCCACTCTGATGGCTTTGGGCAAACATCGAAGTTCCCAGAGGAAGTAAAACTTTGAGGGTATGTCCTCCCAGGAGAAAAGTAAAATGCTGACCAGCTCCTGGTTCCATGGCCCCAGGTAAGACACTGCCCCTCGGAGAGCCAAGGGCAGCTACCCAGCACAGCACAGGCCCCTTCCGGAGCCCGTGGGCGCCTGCATGGCCACGGGCACTGACTGCCCCCCCTCGGGGGTGAAGAAGGAACTCTGAGGCCATGGTGACGGACAGAGAAACCCCGTCGAGGAGAAGAGCACGACTGGAGTCTCTTGTCAGGGTCTCAGTGGTGTCCTTCCTTAAAAGGGCACCGTGACAGCACCCACTTCCTGGAGCCGGAGAAGCAGAACGCTCGGCGAACAGCGTCAGCACCAGCTCCCTGGCCGGGTCAGCTGGGAGGGGAGGCAGCACTATGCCCAGCTCTGGGCTCAGCACGGAGGGGCACTCAGAGGTCATTTGCTGAACGCCCAGCGGGATGGGCTGGAGAGAAGGAAGGAAGGGGGAGGGTGGGGCGTGAAACAAGGACGAGCGGGTCAGAGAAAGCAGGGCGCCCTCTGGGCACGTCCACAAGGTGTTCCGGGGGTGAACTGTCCTCTCCACAGCGGCCGTTTACCTTCACGATCTCCTGGGCCAAGATGCCTCCAACCACCGCACACACGGGAGCCATCTCGGAGAAGCAGAACCTGGAAGGGAAGACAAGTGAAATGAACACGGAGGAACAGAAAGGGGGTAGGGCATGGAGAAGGGCCGGCAAAGGGCTGCCTGAATGAAACGTCTCCTGCCACGGAGTCAATTCCGAGAGCAACGCTAATGCTGGCATCTCGGCGTGAAAGTTAGAGCCGACGCGGGGGTTAGACGGCGGCTGGGAAAGACCTTTGAACCTTGGCAGGCAGAACTGTTTCACAACACGTCTTTTCTAAGTTAAAGGAAAGACTATATCTGTGCTTCCTAAAAATAAGGCCCTACAAAGATCAGATGTGTCAGTGCCCCGGTCACATTCTGGCAATTCTATCCCTACCCGGAAGGGGCGGTGGGTTCTATGTGCTATTCCCAGACAAGTGTCAGGGGGAAGGCCTGTGTTAACATGCAGGAGGCATGGGAAATTTGGGATCTGATGTGAAAGTATGGGGATAGAAAAGTCTTCACTACCCACATAGATACCAGCCCTTCCTGGGCCAGAGGACACATGTTAGCTGATACTGTCACCATCCCCTTCAAATCACTCATCCTGGGTAGCCAAACCCTATCTCTCACTACTTCCCCCGTTCCCAGCCCGAAATTCAAAGGTATTTCTTTTTTTCTTTCTTTTTCTTTTTAAAAAAAAAATATATTTTATTGATTTCTTAAGGAAGAGAGAGGGATAGACAGTTAGAAACATCGATGAGAGAGAAACATTGATCAGCTGCCTCCTGCACACCCACAACTGGGGGTGTGCCCGCAACCACAGTACATGCCCTTGACCGGAATCGACCCGGGACCCTTCAGTCCGCAGGCCGATGCTCTATCCACTGAGCCAAACCGGTTTCGGCTCAAAGGTATTTCTTAAACGAGCAAACTGAGACAAATTGCAGCTTCCCAAATGAACCCTATGATAAAGAGACCACCTCCAGCCGAAGCCGGTTTGGCTCAGTGGATAGAGCGTCGGCCTGAAGACTGAAGGGTCCCAGGTTCGATTCCAGTTAGGGGCATGTACCTTGGTTGCAGGCACAAGGTACCTGCTGATCGATATTTCTCTCTCATTGTTGTTTCTAGCTCTCTATCCCTTTACCTTTCTGTAAAAAATAAAAATCGATAAAATATATATTTTTAAAAAAGCACTAAAAATGGTTAAGATGTTACATTTTATGTTGTGTATACTTAACCACAATAAAATTTTTAAACAGTAAAAATGTTATATTTACATATACAAATTAGGAATGTTTGTCATAAACATATATAATAGTGAAAAACTATAAACAACTTAAATACCCACTGATAAGGTGATGGTTGAATAAATAACTATGTGTCAGACAAGGAAATGGATCTGTATTTTGACATAAATAGGCCTATGACATGCTGAAAAAAAAGAGGCGATTGTATAGCAAATAGGATCTCATTTTGACATTAAGAAGGAGAACACATGTGGGCAAATACACACAGAAGTCTGAGAGTCTAAACCCCAAAATGTTAGCTGTGACTGCTTCTCAGTGGCGGGACTGAGGTGATCCTTTTCTTTTCTCCGCATTTTCTGGCAACAGGCACTGCTACTTTCCTAATCAGAAAAGCAATAAGCTCTCTGAGAAGAGAATAAATAAGGTCACACGAAGAGCAGAGCGAGCACCAGGGCAGATGAGGGAAACGGAGACTTGTGCACAGCCTTCCCTCCTCAAGTGCGCGGCCCTGCTCCGAGCTGGCAGTGGGCAATCTGTGCGGTGCCTGAACGGCCAGACATCCCATCCCCTACCGGGCCTCGGAGAGCCCCGAACCCCTCTTACTTAAAGGCCAATAGCGCGGGAACACCTGAGCACACGAGGACCCAACACGGCAAAGTGGTTTCTGCCGAGCAGGCGGAGGGGGAGGAACACACTGGCTGTTAGCATTCGGTGGTGGTTTTCTCCTTCTGCAAAGCGGGGCCTCAGCCACTCTTCCCTCTAAATGCCCAAATCAGTCAGCCAGCTGCACACTCACGCCAGGCACGGGTCTGCTTGGGGGCCTGATCTAGCTGGCAGCGTCTGCTGGGAATGCAGGCCTGCATGAGCCAGAGCAGGTACCACTTGCTTTCCACACACGGTCTTCCCTTTTCTAAGACATATGTGCGCGGCTGTGAGCCCAGCCTGCAGTGTCATCAGCCCTGAACTCCCTGAACCAACTCACCAAAGCACCTCAAAGGCCACTGACTGCTGGTCCTATCCCTGGTGGGTCTGCTACTGTCTAAACATGGGCCCAGACATGAGAAAGAAAGGACTGGAGAAGGGAGGGACTCTAATTCCCATCATCGCCAGAGAAAACCAAAGAGGCGCGCTACCACCAGAGATTATGTGGTGAGACTTGGGTGAGGTCTTGGTTGGCTACTTACTGAAACTGTGAGCAAGTGATAGAAAAACCTTTCTGAGCCTCAGTGTCTTCATTTATAAAATGGGAAAATAATCACACCTCAAGGGAATATTGTGGCAATTAAATATGGTAAAGCACAGAACGTCTTCAATACATGCTACTGTTGCCATTAGCTATATATACATTTATACATATAAACCTTGGATTAGGCACTTAACGTTCCTGAACTTTAACTTTTCCTCACCTATAAAAAGAATTGTTGTCAAGAGAGAACACGTACATAATAAATGCTCAGTAAACGGCAGCCATTAGTACACTGCTAAAAGCTAGAGGCACAGCAAAGCAATTTAGGAACCCCCCCCCCCATGAAATAAAACAAGAGTGCGCTGATGACCCCAGAGCTGCCTGGAAGGGGTTCCTGATCTCTCACTGTTTGGACTTCTCCAATCAAACCCTAAACCTGTAAGAGCAAAGACTGGTCTGGTCACCCAGGGCGAAAACGTCCCAGTGCCCGAGAGGAGGCAGGGAACAAACTTGCTGCTGAGAGCAGACACCGGAGAGCCATCCATGGGGGTCTGTCTACCAAGTAAATCACGCTTCTGACCGGCCACTCCCCACCTGTCCCTTCACCCTGAGGGGCGCCTGCACACACAGGCCACACACTGCAGCGCGTGAGCCAACAAAGGCCTGGCCACAACCCGAGGCCGCAGGGGACTGGTGCGGGGACCGCTCCCGCTCCCGCTCCTGCTCCTGCTCCTGCGCTGGAATACTACACAGAGCTGGGAAACAAGGAGGAAACATCCCCAGAAGACACTGTGAAGTGAAAAAGGCACACAGTAGTGCATACAGATTTTACCCTACCTTTTTTATTAAAAAATAATAATATAGATATTAAAGTTAGATAATTTAAAAAAATATTTTTATTTTAATTTTTTTTTTTACAGAGAGGAAGGGAGAGGGATAGAAAGTCAGAAACATCGATGAGAGAGAAACATCGATCAGCTGCCAAGGTACATGCCCTTGACCAGAATCAAACCCAGGGCCTTTCAGTCCACAGGCCAATGCTATATCCACTGAGCCAAACCGGTTTCGGCTTAAAATATATTTTTATTCATTTTTTACAGAGAGGGAGAGAGAGAGAGAGAGAGAGAGAGAGAGTTAGAAACATCGATAAGAGAGAACATGGATCAGCTGCCTCCTGCACAACCCCTATTGGGGATGTGTCCGCAACCAAGGTACATGCCCTTGACCGGAATCAAACCTGGGACCCTTCAGTCCGCAGGCTCACGCTCTATCCACTGAGCCAAACCGGTTTTGGCAATTTTACACTAGCTTGAGTTTGGAACCATACAGCTATGAACAAACAGAGCCTGCACGTCTCCTCCTCACACCCGCGGAGGCGGAGGCCTGCGCAGTTGGCAGAAGGCGGCCCAGGAGGCTCCCTCAGGGCTCCTGGTCTCAGTAAGCACCTTCCCCACTGAAGGCAAACACGCAGATGTGTATCATCCAGGCCAAACTAATGAACGCGGAGACCAACCTGGCAAAGTCTGCGGGAAGCAGGTCAGGATTCACACCCAGGGAGTCGAGCACATCGTTACGAATCTGGAGCAACAGCTCGGAATCTTCCCCGAAGGTATCGCAGCTGGGGTCTCTCCCCTTATCCGTGCGGAACTTCAGGAGCACTGGCGGAGGAAAAGGGAGGAGGTTAAGAAGCAAGGCCTTCCAGGTAAATGCTTGTAGATGTGGAGAATTCAGTTTTCTTTTTCATTCTCTAGGAATTATACATGAATTAAATAAAACGTGGGCCAAGTGAAAGGTAATACACTTTTCATTTATTCACAAGTGCAGTCAGAAGGGCAATCAAAAAATTATAGAGGCAACTACAATGACGGTGATGAGTGCCAGGATAGTGTGGCAGAGGGTCTATGCCACCCACGTGGTGGTGCCGGCCAAGGCTTCCCCGAGGAAGCAATGACCGGGGGAGAAGGGGGCTCAGCAGAGGGAAAAGGCCCATGCTGACCCAGACGAGGCGTCAGGCGCGGGAGGCATGCCTTCTAGGCATCAGTTCAAAGGGCTGCTCCAGCCAGAGGCCAGCCAAATGCTCAGACTCCCCAGACAGGCCAGTCATTTCAAACAAAACCTCCCCTAGTACAACAATTCGTCAACCTCCAGAAATGAGTGTTTAGTTTTGCTTTTGAACCCGAGAAAGGTTGAGATGATGGCAGCAAATCAGAGCTACTGTGAAACAAGACCCTAATACGGCTTGAACTTTTACCCCAACCAAACATACAAAGGCAGGAGCGTAAGACCATCAATACAAACCCCGTCTGCTGCCACCACACCGCCCACAATGTCCACCGCGTGCTGGGCAGGTGGTGGTCTTGTTCCCCACCTGCTCTGAGGCAGGTCACAGCAGTCTCCAGGGCACCACTCCTCCTCCTCCTCCTCCTCACACAAGCGTGTGCATCAGGGGAGACACAGACAAGTGGATCCCTGGGTGCTATGAGGCAGCACCTCATACTTGGAGGGGGCTTGACAGTTTACAAAGTTCTTCCATTTAAGTTTCATCATTATTTGCTGATTGAGAAAGTGAACTTATTCGTCAAATTATACTCTCTATCAGTACCAGGGGCTCTTCCCCCCAAATAAAGGTGGATTAAAACTCAGGCAATCGCTGTGGGGCTCTTTAAAAATGCATTTGGAGCCCCCCAGACTAAGAAGTGAGCTCTTCTTTCTTCTTGTTTTCTTCAGATGGAGCTTTGGTGATGAGCAGCCTGGGTTGGAACCACTCTCCAAGAAAGAGTTCAAATTCACTCAGCCCGCCAGCAAGAGCCAGCGCTCACCGGGAGACGGCAGACTCAGGTTTTGAAGGTGCAGGGAAGGCGAGTGAGTCTCAGTCTGCACGTGTGAAGGCGATGGGGAGAGAAGAGAGAATTTAGGAGTCACAGCAGATGGTCTAAGCCTGAGAAGTTCATAATTGGATTAAAAAGTATTCCAGTGGGGGTAGGGTGGGGATTGGTAAGGTATGTACACATATAATACCTTAATAAAAAAGAGGGGGGAAAAAGTATTCCAAGAAGATCCCAAACCACGGAGGCCCAGGGAGAAGACGAAGCCTGCTCTGGGTGGGCCATTCTCGGTGCCACTGCCAGAGAAAGGCCTGGTTGCTTCTCTGGCAACTTCCAAATGCCCAGTTAGGGCTCCGCAGGTTTAAATACAGGGGTGTGTATGTGTGCTCGTGGCACCTGTTTTAAACACAGTTAGCCTCCTGGAAACACGACTCTCCTCTTTTTAAGAACACAGCTACCAGAACCCTGATTGTATCGAATCACTTGGCAGTCAAGGCCAATGACCATTTGGATGCTACTAAACTGATCTGCCTTCCCCTGAGCTTAGCGTCTATCTCTGCAGATGTGCTGCTGGAATTCCATCTTGGGAGTAAATAAATGCAACCACAGAAGCATTTGGGAAAGGTGGAGAAGAGGCTGCAGGAGAGGCAGCTAATCCCTGTTTAGATCAACCCTCTTTTCCAACACTGTCCTGAGAAGACAAAGGAATCTGGAAACCTGCCAGGCCAGCCAACGCAGAGGATACTCGGAGCGAACTGCACTGAATGTCAGCGCTGCTCCCATCAACCGCTTCCGAGAGGACAGGACACAAACCCAGAACGAGTGTCAGTGCTGCCTGAGTGCTCCTCCTGCATACTTCCAGGCTCAGTGACAACCATGCGGACAGTGAGTGAGGGTGGTGGACAGCAGTGGGGGCCCCACACGGAGCCGGCCACGTGACGCTCTCATTTCTGTGTCCCTGGGTCAGAAGCACCAACTGTCACCCGGAAGGAAGGAGAGAGGGTCATTTTTGCAGCTCTCACCACAGAGCTCTCCATTTTTTGGTTAAATATAAGCCCTTGGAGAAAGCTCAAACCACCCTAATAGTAAAACCAACAGTGCCTAGTATGTGCCAAGCGTTTTACATACAGTAACACTCATCCGCAGTAACTGGAGAGGTAGGCAGGCCCTATTCCTGTCCGTACTTGATAGATGGGAAGGTGAAGTTCAGAGAGGGTAAGGGGCTTGTTCAAGGTTAGCTGTCAATAAGCAATAGTGCAGAAACGCCAACTCTGGCATTTGGACTCTGTGCTTCTTAACCCTAATCGCATCCGGGAGAAAAGGCGGCCCATCAGGAATGTAGCCCCAAGGGTTCCAAGTGGTCTGGCGCTTTGCCCCTCACCTCAGAGGACTCCCATTCAACCACAGTTCTATGCATTTTCCAGGTAGGCCCTGACCTCTCTTAGCTGGTCCATTAATTCTAGGTTACCAATTCAGTGGTGAGAGTGGAGGTGGAGGCTGTCAATCTTCGGAGTAAGACCAGTTTCATCTCAGAGAGAAGATGGCACTAAGGGGGAGTGAAGGCAGCCAGCAGCTGGCCCGCTGTTTCTCTGGTGCAGGCCGCCTGGATGAGGGCCGGCAGGCTGGCACCAGCCAGATACCTCGCTGACCACATCTGAAGTCCTCTCAGGGCCTCTGGGAAGGCCGCCAGTCAGAAGGCCACTTATTTGTAGCAAAGCAAACAGAAGCTGTATTTTTCACTCTTTTTCGAATGTCAGCACTCCAGTTAGCGGGGGGGAAGAGGCCCATGTCCTAGACAGGCAGCAGTCTCAGAACTGACCCTAGCCCCGGACGGGTTCTTGCTTATTAAATTCTCCTTTGTTCTGCCCTCCACCCTCCCAAATAGCCAGACACACACACATCACTGTTGACTCTGCATTTCTGAGGAGCACCTCCCCGCCGGCTTCCAGATTATGAAACTGTCCCATTAAGATCCAACTCAGGAATGGAGAGCTGCTTTGCCAAAAGATGACTCATTGAATTGCATCAAAACAGTGCACAAAATGAGTCCCAAACTTGATTAACTTCATCTGAACCTTTTAATTAACTCGGGATGCTGAGGTCCAGGAAAATGACATTTATTGCTACAGACGACAGGTTGTGTCTCTGCTGAAATTTAGGTCTTGCCCATGTACTGAAAGGAAAACTGTGTACATGTGATTAATACTAATTCTGCAAAAAGAAATGAACTCTTTCGGCAACTATCTTATTGCATTTAAATAGTGTGATATTTAGCATAATCACTAAGGTCATCGGAAAAAATAGTACTTTTATAGGAAATAAAGTCAATGTTGCAAATAAGCCCCAACTCTATTTCTGTCCCCCAAAACAGCTCAATTAAAGGGGAAAGCCAAATCTATATAAAACCTCATTTGCCTGACAACTAAAGCTTGGGGGGTCAGATACCGCTGCCTCAGTCTCTGGTGCTCTCCAACCTACCCATAACCCTTCTCCCCAGGCCGGCTCGCCCAGTGAGGCTGTTCACTGGAGACCAGCTCTATTCCTGTGTTACAGAAACTTCCAAGAAGTAAGAGCAGTTATCCTCTTAGACAACTGCCTAGCTCCTCAGGCAGTGGTCGGCGAACTCATTAGTCAACAGAGCCAAATATCAACAGAACGACGATGGAAATTTCTTTGGAGAGCCACATTTTTGACACGTAAACTTCTTCTAATGCCACTTCAAAATAGACGCCCAGGCCATGGTATTTTGTGGAAGAGCCACACTCAAGAGGCCAAAGAGCCACAGTTTGCCGACCATGGTCCTAAGGCAAAACAGTAGGTCTGACATTTAGTTAATCGTTAATTCAGTAAGTATGAACTGAGTGCTGGCTTTGTGCCAGGCCCTGAGCTGGGCAGGTGAGAGTACACTGCACGCTCTCCCCTACAGAGCTTTTAGTGAGGGTGGCAAATTCAAGCTACTTCTAAGTTAATAAAAGGCGGGAACCAGAAAAGGAGCTCTGAGTGATGAGGGTGGAAGGGGGCAGCCATAGAACAGCTGGCCCCAGCCATGGAGCAGGACACCTGCGGGCACAGGCTCCCCTACTGCTGCCTTCTCTCTGCAAGGTCCCCCTAGGAACTGGTAGGCAGTGGAGTGCAGTGGTGAGGAGCCCGGCTCCAGAGCCAGACTGACTGCCTTGGCTGGGTCCCCTATGTTTCCACTTACTGTCACCTTGGACAAGTGACAATGTCCCCGAGCTTCTTCTATAAAGTAAGAATCGCAGGAGCACTTACCTTGCAGGGTTTAAGGATTAAGTGTACTAATCCACGTAAAGCACCTAGGACAACGCCAGGCGCAGGTTAAGAATTCAGGAAATGCCAACTCTCTGGGATTGAGGCTAGTCTTCCCCACTGGCCATCAACCCAGTTCGCCTGCCCCTTGGAGCTGACATGCTTGTGTACGAAGAACTTCCTAATTTAACTGAGTTACCACCGCTAAAGCAGCTGTGAGCTCGGAGATTACAGGGACTCTTATCTCCGTGTGTTATCTTATAATCATCCGTGTAAATTCACTTGTACAAGGACTGGCTTGCCTTCCCCCCAGATGCTTGCTGTGTGGGGCAGAGAACATCTCTATTTTGTTCACTACTATTTGATTAATGCTTAACAGGAGTGTGGCCCCTGGTAGGCACCAAGAAATAGGCTTCATGGGAAGCCTAAATGTTGGAGAAGGAAGACAGTCACACAAGAGGAGAGAGGGCTCTCAACAAGTGACACCGGGTCCTCACAGATCCTAAGTTGGCCTGCTCTTTCATTAATAAAACTGAATCGTTTTTGCCGAAACCGGTTTAGCTCCG